TTTTCTTCTTAAAAATTTAAATCGTTTCTTAAAAATTCTCACAAAATGAGTCGCTATAAAAATGTAGATTTTTTTTCTTGAAATGTTAATAGTTCCATCATTTCATATAAATATCATCTATAATGTCTGACGTTTATATTTTTATATTATAAAAATTCACGTTGTTCATTGTGTGCAAAATTTAGTCAGCAGATAAATCGTGTACAGAATAGAATTTCATTATTCTTTCTAATATTGACTGACACCGTGAGATTGTTATACATATATCATGTACGAATAAACAATGGAATTTCAAGAGTAATTGTACCGTACCGCGTGTGATTTGTACTATTTTTTTTTTGTTGCTAATTATATAATGATTTCCATCTATGTACAATTCAACTTGAAATCGTTATATAGCAATCTCGCGAGGGCATTTTTTAAAATAGCACTATCGAAATCTAATTGTAAGTCTAGTTTTATTGCAATCAATTCCGTGCTTAGATTTAAATATCTCCTATATGTATATAAAAAATCTCTCTGTTCTATCATTAATTCCACATTTTCCAGAGCAGCACTGCGAGACCATGCGTACCATGCGCTTGCAAACCTAATTAATCTGGAAAAAAGGACCGCTTGTGAAACAATGCCTGCAATTTTTGCAAAGAAGAAAGCAAATATCTCGTAATTCTTCGTTTAGCCGATGTACTCGTCCTCGTCGTCATCGACGAACCTAATGTTCTGGTCGCAAAACGAGCCCTGCTTTATGCAGAACGATTCGATGCCGTAATGCTTGCTCTCGATGTTCAAGGTCGCGTCGTCCTTGAGCTTCCGGACCTGCGCGAAGTTGGTCAAAGGGCTCCCGGACAGCTCTGTCATTGGGATGTTGACGGTATCCTTTCTGTGCACCAACGGCTGCGTGCAATCCATCAATTCCTTGTACTTGCGTGACGTCACGTCATCATCAGCATCCCCTAAGATCTTAGTCTGGAAAGTCTTCTTCGGCGTGGAGAGCTTCTGGTTCTTGATCGACTCGTTAGGACTCGGATGGTTCTTCGAGGACTCTTCGGCGACCTCGTCGCCTTTGTCTGAGCATAACCTATGGAAAGACAGGGTCGTTAGTAATTTAACCGATCAGCTTGGACGCGTGGCATCGCTAAGCTACAGAAAATCAAAGGGTCGATTTCAAACAATTGTAACTTTGTGCAGAAAGATGGTATAGGGGTCTACCCGGGCACATTCTGAAGCCTGAAGCCTCTACCTTGGACTGATCTACATAAATTGTTAGCTCACCTCCTGTTTGGAATAACGCAATACGGTTTATGGTCAAGAACACCGGGCACAGACTCCATGCTCACTTTAATATTAGAGTCTTGCAGAATCTTTCGAACAGGAAGTAACTTTTCGTACGTTCTTGCTTTCGAATTGTCGGAGGTTTCGTCCCGATTTAGGTTTACGTAATTAAAATTGTTGCAGTAATTTTCCCCTGTCTGTATATACCGGTCGCTATCAACAGAAATCGAGTTACTTTCATGCTAGGAGGCAAAAAACACATTATGTACAAGGAACTTCGAGAAGCAATATCAAATAAATCTTGCAAATTATAAAATTCTCTAGTCGATGCGATTACGCTACGTTTTGGTTTTCTTTGCTCACCCCTGTTGAAATTCAATTCCGAATTCGTCGAAGTTCGACAGCTTCATTCTTCTGTATTCGAACGGAGTCAACGCCGCGCCTTCAGTGTCCATCGTTAATATAGAATTTCTTTTGCTCCTACGAACAGAGTAACAAATTCGTCGCGTTCAATTGAAGAAAGCGTTTCAGAACCGAATTTCAGACGTATGTTGTCCGAGAACTTTTTCGAAATTCAGCGCGAGCCAAGAGTTACAGCGTTTTTAAGAAAATCCATAGGCGTAAGCACGCGGAACACAGGGAGGTACGTTGAAGTCGCTGTAACTTTCGACCTGTGCGAAATTTGGAAAAACAGTTCGAACGAAAGTTGCTGTATCTTTCAAGGGCTACGCGGCTGTACAGATCAATCGCAGCCGTTGCGCCATCGTTTAAGAGTAATCACCCTAAATAGATTTCATCCGTGTCCAGCTTGTCGATCGGCGGGATCCACACGAGAAAGGCTGGGTCCATGCCCAGATAGGAGCCGGGAACAGCGCTGGCATTCGCCACATTGTAATCATAGTAATCGAGCTCCATCTCTGAATCTGGATTCGCCAAACTGAACTCGGATCCGGGCCCTTGCAGAAGTTTCTCGCGATTTCTTCTCTCCTTCGTCTCCTTTCCGCTTCCCAACGTCGACGGGCTCGAGAGCAGACTTTCCGGAGAGGATTGCGACTGGTACTACAACCATAATCATTTACTTCACCGTCTTTTAACAATGTATGATTATTGTTTACAGGAATTACCTTCTCCTCGGAAGAGCTGGTTTCGTTGCTCTGACTGGTGTTCAAGTTTGGCGGTTTCTCCGCTTCCGGGTTCAATGGCTTTGCCTCTGAATTGTCCAGGTCGATCGTTCGCAATCTTGGTGAGACAGAGTTTCGTTTGATAAATTTACACGCTTTGTTTAAATCAGCTCGACATGGTGGCTAATAAACTCACTTTACAGGGTAAGCGTATTTCACTTCCGGTTTCTTCAGGACCATGATGCTGGATGCTGATAACAATTTATCACAGTTCGATTGGATCGATGTTATTGTCTTGTCCGATGAGCTCTCCAGGGTGTTGTTCAACTTTAACGTGCTGGAGCTTAACGTGGAGCCGTCTTGGTATCTGTATTCGTGACGTGTGATGATTTATTTTTCATTATTTCCACGAGTTCTTAGTAAATTCATCAATTCTTTTAAGTAAATAAATCCTTTTTGAATTCGTACATTTTCAATTAAATAAATTCTCGATGAATTCATATATTTCTCAATTAAATAAATTCTCGATGAATTTTTTCCTACATTTTTCAATTAAACAAATTCTCGACGAATTCGTACATTTTTTAATTAAACAAATTCTCGACGAATTCGTACATTTTTCAATTAAACAAATTCTCGATGAATTCATACATTTTTCAAGTAAATAAATTCTCGACGAATTCATACATTTTTCAATTAAACAAACTCTTGAAATTTAGATAAATTCTGTACTGTACAATTAAATGTTTTCTTTTTATCGTGCTTACTATTAATCACCGCATTGAAATCAGTGTTTCATTACTGCTCTTACCCAGTTAGTGTTTCAGTGCTATTATAATGTTCCTCTGGCTCGCATGAAGTGTCCTTTGGCGAGTCCTTCACAGTGGCCTCTATCATTGATATCACATCTGATATGATGGTGCTCGTAGACAGGTACTTCGAGTTCCCTGGCATTAATTCTAGAATAATAATTCGGTAAAAATTAATGTACACTGTGCGTATACATATATTTGTTTATACAGATCAATACCGGAAACGTCGCTGAAGGAGTCCATGTCCTCGGCGACACGGTACTTTCTGTACTTGATAACAAACTGCAGCGTCAGGAATATCGACACGATGAACATCAGTATCAAAAGCAAAGCGGTGACCAGGTGTGCTGGCTTCCAGAAGAACCACTCGTTCACCACGTTCGCTGAGTCTGTTTCTAAAGGCACAACGGTTATGCTTCCATTCCTTTTCAAAAATTTTTTCTCTGAAAAAGCAACGGTACAACTTCGTTAGTTGATTTCCTCTTTCTTTTAAGAAGCAATTAATTTTTGTATAGAAAATCGGTCGCGAACTTTCACGACAACAAGCATCATTTTCGTCACCTAGAATGGCCGCGTGAGCAAGAAAACCGCCGATGCAAGCGTCACCGGAAGCAGTGAGCTCGTCGCTGAAGAATTCCAGCAACAAATTTTCCCCGGTGCTAATTAACGTTTTCGATGTTAATTGGATCTTGTCCGAGGCGACGTCGGTCAGCAGATCCGCGTTCAACGAGTTACCGTCGCGAACGCGAAAGTATTGTCCCGGACAAGGGAACTGTAATTGATCTAAGTGCAGTCCGATCACGAAGTTGTCGTTCGCCTGAACAGATAAATCATTGATCCATTTATATCTTACGGAAACTATGCGTTATACTATTTGTTGATTTTTCATCATTTCTTCATGATTGTTTAGAATAATACCTGCAAAAGCCAAAACGAGCGGCCGGGACACGACTGAGTATTCGCTCCGAGAATTTTCCTAGAAAGTTTCTCTTCCAATCGAATTCGACAGCCGCAGCGACATTGGGACCCGATCTCTGCAGCGATTTCCGGTTTCGTCGCCGCCAGAACCGCGCCATGACAGTCGGAGCTGTCCAGCCGATTGTTGTACCACTCGCTTTTGTTAAGCACCTCCGAAAATATTCTGCCGCAGAGCTTGGTCTCCACTGCTTTTCCCTGTAAGCTCGAAGATAGATTTCATTGCTCCGCGATCCAAGCAGTTTTTCTCGTCCAGTTAACAATTAATTACCTGACAGAATTTGGCTCCGTACTTTGGTGGCGGCGTGTCGCAAAAACGATAGCGATTTCTGATCCCGCCGAAGCACGAGCTGCTGCAAGGACTCCAAGGACTCCACGGTCCCCATCCGGCTGCGTCACCTTCTACATGTTCAGAAAAGTCTACAGAACCATTTTACATAAAGGAATATTCTTTTAACAATCATAATTCATTCGCAAGAAAATCCTAAAGGTAAAAAAAGTCAGTGTTCCTTAAAACAAAAGATCTTTAAAATTAAAAATAGGAAGGAAAAGTAACTTTAGAATTTTGTTTAAGTGTACGGAAGTCTACGGAGCTCTGTGAACCGTGAAATCTACCTTGGAAGGGAAAGGTTGGTATGCAAGACATCTTCACGTCCATCATGGCGCCAGTTATCGCCTGGCTGACGTATATGAAGCAGTACTCGACGTATTTCTCCGTGAAGAGGTCGCAGTCGAAGGTCAACGAGTGCTTGCCGGGGATCGATCTGGATTCCGTGATGTAGTGAAGACTCGAAGGTGAAGCAACGGAAGTGACGTCAGCCTTCAGCCGGCCATAAACGCGAACGCGATCGCCTTCGAGCCGGCAGGAAGGATACTCGAATAGAACGGCGACACCGCCGGGCCCTTCGCAAGGATATATCGATCTTGCGTGGACGGTCAACTTGAATTCCTCCGACCAGTTCACCTGCAATTAGAGATGTACCCATCGAGATTGTTAACTTTCCGAAGTTAACAATCGAAACAGACGCAAACGGTTCGTACAACCGTTCGATACAAACGGCCGTAGAAAGTCTAAAAAATTTTTCTCTCAACCGAAACTACCGCGGATTCGAAGTTTGAAGTTTTCTCTTTCCAACGACATCAAAAAATTCAACGTACGATTTTTCGTTATCGTTTTATTGCACTTCGAATGCACCGCAAGTGAAAGATGGTCCTTATCCGAAGAATGTCGGATTCAAACGCCTGTACATGGTTCAAATAATTTTTTACAGGGTTGAAACCATCGTGAACTTGAAGTTCGAAGTTCCCTCTTTCAAACGACACCCGAAAATACGAGACACGATTTTTTCTCATCGTTTTATCGCACTTCGAATGCGCCGGAAGTGGAGAACGGTGCTTTTTAATGCGGGATTTCGGATTCGAACCACCGACTGCAACCACCGTGGATTCAATACACTCTTTATAATGATTCTGCGAAGTGCAACAATAAGCTTCGTTACCTTGAAATACAAGCTAGTATTCGGCGCAGTAGGGTTCGCGCTCGAAGCCTTCAATTGAACCGCGTAGTTTCCGGGCAGTCCGAAGAATTCGCATCGAAAAAAAACAGTCTTTTCTGGAACAAATCCCCGCACTTCTTCGTAGTATAAAACCTGTAGAATCGTAGAAAAAAGTGATGTATTAATCCAGAGTTGTCAGTTCATTTCTAAAGAATTTTAAGCATCGCTTCAAAGGCACCGCACAGTTTCTAATAACAGTTCAGAGCTATTTTATTTCTGGTATCGCTGTAGAGCTTTTATATCGTATAACGTTCAGCATTATAAAGCGTCCATAAAATAATCCGTTTTATTTACTTGCGTATGGGTATTGTTATGCAAATAACAAGCGGCCACGCTGGCGCCGCAATAAATTAATTGTAAAACGTAGACAGCTACAGGAACATTCTCCGACGGGCTACAACTCGCGTCGTTGTATCTCACAGTGGTCGTGACACGTTTGTTTGGATAAGTTTCGATCTCGTGGGAATCTAAAAAAATGTTCGGCGTCGGCCACTTCACGTCCACGTTTTTCGTCGTCTGCGAATCGAAATAGCCATCATTATTTCCCTCGTGCTAAATGAGCACGGTCGTTTCACGAATTGAACTTATTAAGAGACCGGTGCAAATCCGGTGTTTTTTGCAATGAAAGCGACTATTAAGATTTAAGCAAGTATTTAAATTTAAGAAATATTATATGATATTATATAATAATAATAATAATAATAATATTATATATATATTTATATAATATTATATAATATATGATATAATATATATTATATTATATAATATATTGATAATCTAAGCCAAGCTTGCAAATATTTGAACTGGCCAAATTTGAGAAAAGTATTTCGATTAGCCAGGAGTCAAGCTTAAAATAATTCGAGTTCCCGAACCTGATAAAAGGAGGTAACAGGCACTGTTGAATTTTTGTATTTGTACTCTAATCGCAGAGCGTAGATACCGCCGCGTGTAAAGTACCCGCAGGGTATCGCAATTGAGATGGTTTCGTTTTCTGAAGGCAACTTTTCTAATTGAATCTCTCCAACCAATTCTGATATGTCGTCAAAGAGGTACAGTATTCTAGAAACAACAGAAACAGCACATAATATAATACAAAACAATTTCCTCCGATGTTTTATCCGATATTAGCTTGCAAATAAATTTCATATGTTCCAATATTTCGAATGAGCTCTGTCCATTCAAATATTCCAAATGAATTATTATATACATATTTCGATATCAAAAATGAATTCGATCTGTTCCAGCGATCAATGAATATTTATTAACTTCGCTTAAAAAATGTCGATTCTTACCGTAACACAGGCGATTCGTTAGAAACACTCTCTAACTTCTCACTATCCTCTGCGTCTTCTAACATTTCATTCTTTACAATAAACACCGTAAGATCTCCCGAAAAGGCAAGGTGCGAAGATGGCGAATTAATTTCCAAAGCACCGAACTCTTCTGCTTCTACCATTGTTGATTTCCTGGCGCCTGAACCTCTCACTTAATTAATTTCCATATGTTCAAATCGTTAGGTCTTATAAAATGATTTTCTTTTTTCTTTTTTCTTTAAATTAATCGCTACGTTAAAATAATTTAAGAGCAATAAATAAAGAATAAAAAAAAGAAAGAATACACAATCGATACACGAAATGTATTCGATTTGTTGTACTCCACGGAATCAACGATAACTAATTTGTCTCTGACGAAATAAAATGTCGGAGGATTCATAATGATTTTACCATATTCAAGGAGGATGGTATTTAGTATTCCAAAGAAGAGCCATTTGGATTTCAAATTCATATCCAGGTCGTCATCCGTATGAAAATCCTAGACTTCGTTGCCGAGCTGAACGACACAAAATTGTTTACATATTTTCAATGGCTCGAAATTGTTCCTTGGACGTAGCAACAACGAGAAATTCGCGAACCTTATTCGTTCGCTGCGAGCATGGTTGCCGAGACGAGATTTTCCGAGCTGGACGAGGAGAAAACATAAATGTGCCGTGGTAATTTGCCAGGAATCGATATCCTTTCGATGACCGGCGCGAATTTCACTCGCGTACCCTTCGATATTTTTTCATTTTCATCCTTCCGAATGTTCACATTCCACTGGGAAAGCAAATGTTCTGAATATTATTCCACACGTTACGGCACCAAATTAGCATCGGGAATAAATTATACAAATGTTCGCTTTGTTCGCAAGTTGACACAAAAAACAGATCTGTTCTACAGAATTCGATTTAGAAAATTCTAAATCGCATAAACGTCTACGATTAACTATCTACAAATAAAAGAATACGTAAATACAAATTTTCGAGTTTTTTTTTAATAATGTACAAAATTCTATTAAAAATCGCTCAGAAAGTATAACGATTAAACAAAAAAAAAAAGAAGAAAGAACACTTTATAATTTTAACCACTCTTCAAAAAATTATCCCAAAATAAATAGCGCGAATTTAAAAATATTTAAAATCCTCGAGCATCAGTATTTGGGACCGGCTGCTGTTAAATGGCGAACATTGCAAAAATCGATCGGCGCGGTGCGAGGCCTAATCGCGCCGGCAGATCGTGTTAATTATCACGAAAAATATTAGCACCTGTGTTTCCGAGGCATCACACGGTGGATTCTAATTAGCATTGGTGAGAACTATCGAACAGGGCATTTAACGCGTTGAAAAATAAGAGGAATTCGAACGCAGCAGCGGCAATACCAGCGACGCGAGCTTCATAAGGCAACTAACACCATCGGGGTCGACGTCCAGTGTCCCCTCCCTCATGCGCCCCACTATGGGGGTTGTTCTTTGGGGTAGAGAATTCTGACAGAACATCGACTTCAATCAATGGAGGGATTATATCGACCTGCAGTCTGCTCCTCCACTTTTTCTCTCTCTCTCTCTCTCTCTCTCTCTCTCTCTCTCTCTCTCACCCCTGCTCTCTCCTTCTGTCCTCTCCACCCTCTGAAACCCCTACTTTTCAGGGTCTTTTTGTTTTCAGCCAAAGGGTCATTATTTTTCACGTTAGGGTGCCGCAATTGTCTGAAGTGCATTAGTCAGTTTTTTTTTTGGCTTGCTCGTAATTGGACGCGTTTTCAGGGACTATTGTTCCTGCAAGCATTTCAAGATTTTTGTGAAACCAAATTTGATGATTTTTCTGCAAGAAGAGTTGTAAGGGTTGCATAAGTTTTAGTCGAAACGTTCATGTTGATGTACAAGCTCGTAATTGTCTACCTAAATAGTATGCCATGTATTGAATGATGTTAACAATATCAAAGTGTAACTATTGTAAAATGTGTAAAATGTGTAAAATGTATAAAATGTGTAAAATGTATAAAATGTATAAAATGTATAAAATGTACAAAACAATTAAAATAGAATAACACAGACAATGCAGGGAAATATATGCGTGAAATATAGAAAACATATGTACCATGTTTAGTATATTCTTACGAAACGATAGAACGAGATTAATGTACATTTAAATATCGTTTCTTTTCATTTGACTTCGATACGTCATTTTCAAATCTCCCGCCTCTTTTCGCAGCAGTCACATGACTTTTATTTACGTCAAGTCTGACACTCAAATATAAATCGAAAATGTCATATAAAAATGCATTTGCAAGCAAGATATATAACGAATTGTTGTATCACATGATATAATCGAGGTTAATAATTTTAGAATTATTTCGACAAATTACGTTTTTTTAGGAAAAACAACAAAACGTTCGCATTGTTAGGTTGGCAGGTGCCATGATCGAAGTAAAGCAACTGCCAATGTAACGTGATAAAGTGGTAAGGAGACACTGAATCGTTGCGTATCAAAATTTAGGTATTCTGCACGGTCGGTGGGTGTAGCATCGCTGATAAAACTTCATTTGGAGCAGTTACGATAAAGTCGTTGCCTGCTACTATCTGTGGTAATCATAAATTCGTCTACTCTTATGGCAGCTCATGATATCGTACACGGTACGTATCTACTAAGCGAATTAAACGTCCGGAAACGCTATGATTGTTGTTGAATTTTATGATATTGTTTTAGATACAAGAAAGGAACTATGACTGATCTAATTGTCTGTGTTTGTTAATTATACAACGTTGCAGTGGTGAGTTACAAGATGACAGTGACAGTACTGGCTATTTCGTCCTTATCGCCTGATGGTTAAAATTTATTGCAGGTATCCGGAACACACGTTTTAGAACCAAGAAAAATGGACGTGCTGACGAAATTGCGCAATACTGTCAGCAACACAATCTCCAATACTGTGCAAAACACGGCGTACGGTTTGTCTCAACTGTCGAGCGTCCTGCCAGGAAACCCAGTTACTAGAGAGTTTGAGATCACCGCACAAATTGGCAGTGCTGGTCCAGCTTTATTGTGGAAGGTGTACAATGGTTACAAAAAGTCCACAAAGCAGGAAGCAGCTATTTTCGTGTTCGAGAAGCGAATCCTCGAGAGGTTTTCGAAGAACGACAAAGAAGCTATTTTGGAGACTCTCAAGAGAGGCATTACACAGTTGACTAAACTGCGCCATCCGCAGATATTGATAGTACAGCACCCTCTGGAAGAGTCTAGGGACAGTCTGGCATTCGCTACTGAACCGGTATTAGCCAGTTTGGCCAATGTCTTGGGGAACCATTACAATTTGCCGCAGCCATTGCCAGCAGCCCTCAAAGACTTTAAACTTCACGATATCGAAATAAAATATGGGCTTTTGCAACTAGGGGAGGGTCTAGCTTTCCTACACGGAGATGTAAAGCTATTGCATAGAAACTTGTGTCCAGAGTCCATCGTTATTAACAGCCATGGGGCCTGGAAGATTTTCGGTTTTGATTTCTGTGCCTTGAACCAGAGCTTAGAGGGGAAAGACCCTCTTTGGTCGTACGTGGAATACGACATGTCCTTTTCAGCGATAGCACAGCCGAATTTAAACTATCAAGCTCCAGAATGCATTCTCGCGAGCAGCATCAGCTCTGCCAGCGACATTTTCTCCTTGGGGATGTTGGTGTATGTTCTACATTCTCCGACGAGCATGCCTCTCCACGATTGCAACAACGATCTAATGAAATGCAAGAAGTTCTTGAGCAACTTCACCGGTTCAATCGTGACCTCTAAACTCTTGCCGATTCCGGAAGCTATCCGGGACACAGTGAAACTGATGCTGAATCATAATCCCGAGCTGAGACCGGATGCTCATCAGTTCGTCAAAATTGAATACTTCACGGACATAGAAGTGAAGACACTGAATTATTTGGACAAGATATTCCAGTGGGACAATCTACAGAAATCGCAATTCTACAAGGGACTGCCACAACTTCTGAAGCAGCTGCCGCATAGAGTTATACTGCACAGAGTGTTGCCAGCGTTGTACAAAGAGTTGATTAATCCCCCGATGATCCCGTTTATTCTACCGAGCATACTGTACGCGATGGAGACCAGTTCTGTAGAAGAGTTTCGTGAATACATTCTACCGAACATGAAGCCGGTATTGACTTTGGACGATCCGCCGCAGATTAGCTTGGTGTTGATGCAACACGTTGACTTGCTGTTGAAACTATGCACCACCGAGGTGATCAAAACTGATATAGTTCCTATGTTGCTGCGTGCTCTCGAATCCGAATGGGAACAGCTGCAAGAACTCTGCTTGTCGGCTCTGCCTAACATTGTAACTATGATCGAAGGCCCTGTGATTAAGAATGCAATTCTGCCTCGTATGAAGAAGATCTGCTTGCACAGCAAGGGCAGCAACAGCAAGAGTCTCGGCGTCAAGGTCAACTGTTTGCTGTGTCTCGCAAGAATGTTGCCTAACTTTGATCGATGGCTGGTCCTCGATCAAGTGTTGCCCTTCCTGCAGGAGATTCCACACCGCGGTGAACCAGCTATCCTCATGGCCATCATAGGTAGGCTGCTTGTTAATCAGATACCGAGAATGGAGTTTACAGATTTCTGCTTGTTTCAGGGATTTACAGAATACTGTTGAACCACAGTAAACTGGGCGCAAGCAAGGAGATACTAGCAACAAAGATTCTGCCATTTTTGTTGCCACTGTGCATCGAGCAGAACTTCAGTTCTTCGCAGTACGAGATCCTCTCGAATCTTGTGGTGGAGATGATAAATCGTGTGACAACGGAGCACAAAGAGGCATTGAACAAGTTGGATGCAATGCGTCGCGAGACCCAGAAGCTGGACCAGGAGCTCTCGCAGACTTCCAACATGTACAAAAGTATCAACACCAGCAGCGACACCGTCAACGCGACTTCTCCAGTTCGCCCTTCGAACTCCAATGCGAATTTGCAGTCGTTGCAAATGGAGAACGGATTGACACTGGAAGACAAATACCGGTGAGCGAGGAGAACGGTTCCGCAGAATATTGAGTGCCGCGAAATGCGATACTAATATCATTTTTTAACACTTTGCAGGTTGATTCAGCAGCAGGAAGTGCATCAGAGGCTACAATCTCAGCCTCTCTTGACTCCAAAGGCTATTCAACCACCGCCGAAGAAACCGCAGGTCAAGGACCTAACGGCCACCTTACTACAGTCTAATCTGGATCAATTGAATCGCTCAATATCAAGTCCAAAGCCTGATTATACCAGCATGTCCTCGAACATGAATTCGCATCAGCCGTTCAGTTCGCCCGGAATGAATGCGAATATGAATATGAACACAACTACTTGGGTCTCGAATCAAATGGCGTGGAACTCGACTGTTCCCCAGAACACTATTAATTACTCCATCAATCGAGGGAGCTTAGGAACCAATCAATTGGAGTTCAATTCCAATTTCAATTCTGATTCGAACCAGAAGATTGAGAACTTGCCAACGCAGGATATCATGGATTTACTTAGCTAATGGTTTCGATGATGAAGGACGTTTTATTATTTATTAATAATACTGTGCAATTACAATTTTGCGTTCCGACAAGCACAACGCAAGATTGCCGTTGGATGGTGCAAATGATTATTATTAGAAGAAGAATTTGCATTTTTACTCCTTCCTACTTAGTACGCATCCTTTGTACAGTTCATGGAATACGAGTCACTGTAGGAAATCATAAATCTCGGTAACTGTAAATGAATCTACATTGCTTTTATACTTGACTTGTTATACATTACTTCGTTCAAAGTTAGAGCACGATTCTGTATTACTCGGTACGTGTTATAATTAGAACGCTGCTCTGTTTTAGGTATTTCAAGAGACGTACTTAACGTACCTATAAATGATTAATTTACGGTAATATTTTGTTTTCATTCGTTTTAAATTATCTAATAAAATACTAAGAACATTCGACTAATTGAATGAAATTTAATTTAAATATTCGTGGATTAAAAATGTTATATAATGTCGAGCAAATGTAAGGTGTTATTTGACATGTACGTATGTTCGAATCAAGTTAATATTTAAACTATGCTGTTTTGTTGTTGATTGTACACTGTATTAAATGTTTAAGGCGAGAAATGTTATTGTAATGTAATATACAATATTGCAATTATGACAAATGCTAAATAAATACAGACCATGATACGTAAGAATTAAGTGTTAATTAAGTATTAATAATTGCTTCATGGACAATCCTTATAACAGACTTCATTACATTTTTTTCTTCGACGCTCAAATAACTGTTCTACATCACTTTTTTCTTCCTAAATAATATATCATTTACCAGTTACGTCTTCTCGTCTGTACAGACATTCAAAGCACGTGTATTTTAAATGAAACACCTGTAGTTTTTGTTTCACCTCGGAAAACTTTTTTTCTTACAATACTATGAAACACAAATTATACGGAAGTTAAACCTTTATGGTTGTTAATTAACTTTAATCGTTTCAATGAATTTATTGAAATCATTTCAGAAACGCTACCAGCTATAAATGAGGAGATCTTCAACGGGCATCCGTAGTAGCGATCCTGATTTTGAACCGACGCCTTTTACTTTATACCTGGATCAAAGAGTATCGTCGCGGGAATCGAAATTCGGTAAATACTTTTCCTGCATTACCTAAATCAATTTTATCATTTATACGTATATACTTTGAAATCTTGTTACATTTATCATCTGCAACGTTTGTCCTCTTTTTTACCATTTTACCATTTCAACATTTTGACATTTTATCACTTTACCATTTCGCTGTTTTATTATTTTAACATGTTACCATTTTTATATCGTCCCAACCACTGTGCGTTCGATCACGTATTAATAGAGGAAATTGTTTTTCGTTAGACAAGATGTCCCACCAGATAAAGATATTTCTGACGGTCGCGGTAACAGCGATATTGGCATCGACGTTCGTGCAAGGGGAGGATGAGAGTGAGGAGGTGATGTATTCGTCCAAGTACGATTACCTGGACGTCGACGAGATCCTGAACAACGATAAGCTCAGAAAACAGTACGAGAATTGTTACATGGACACTGCGCCGTGCAACACGCCGGAATCGCTATACATAAAAGGTGAATTCCCGTAAGATATAAGAAAAATAATCAGAAATAAGATAAATAAGAAAGTCGAATAAGAACTTGTCGAAATAATTGCAGAACATCTGCCCGAGGCTTTCACGACAAACTGTAAGAAATGCACGGAGAAGCAGGTGGAATTCTTCAACAAAGTCACAGATTGGTACAAGGCGAACGATTTGGACGCCTGGAACACGATCGTGAAAAGGACCCTGGAGAGGGCCAAGGAAGAGGCCGAAAAGAGAAGGCAGAAAGAATAATCCGATTCTATTAATTAGGGACCACGGTGGTCCGTACAATTTGTTTTAATGGAATTTCTGTATTCCTGCGACCGCGTGGGACGATAATAATCAATAAATATTCAAATCCATAAAGTAATCGCACATCATTTCTTTCACGTTCCCAGGAATTATAAAATAAGAATTATAAAATACACTTTACTGAATAGAGTATTATAGTTTTCTATAGATTCGATACTTAATTACGGCTAGATATTCTAACACTACTCCTGCCGAAAAGTATATTCGCCTGGCTTTGCTTTGAACACGTTCGAAAATTCCTACGGGAATATATTCCAAAAATTCGAGGTAATCCATTACGATCGGATCATTGTGACGATTGCAACACCTAGAATAGATCTCCAGCATCATCCCTATAATAATTTTTTCGATATTCGTGTTGTAATTAATTAGTTATAAGCGATTTTCTGTTTTGTGTTTCAATATTGAATTTCGGAGCAAATGATTCGTGCCGCTGGTCCCATAAGAGGCTATGTAAAATCCGGCACGAATATACTGCTTCTCCTAAACAGCCGAATAGCGCCACTCCAATGCAGCGGCAAAACGCTCAAACTGTTCGACAAAATTGTCGCTAGGTGGCAGCACGTACAAAGTACTAATAGTTTGCCGACTTCTCCGCGAGATGGCGCCACCAGAAACTCTTACCATCTAGTCGATAATTTAACCTTCCATGTCGATAATTTGGCTAACAGTTTGAGCGTTTTGCCGCTGCATTGGAGTGGCGCTATTCGGCTGTTTAGGAGCAGCAGAATATTCGTGCCGGTTTTAACATAGCATCTTATGGGAACAACGGCACGAATCATTTGCTCCGATATTCAATATTGAAACATAAAACAGAAAATCGCTTATAACTAATTAATTACAACACGAATATCGAAACAATTATTATAGGGATGTTGCTGGAGATCTCTTCTAGGTGTTTCAATCGTCACAACGATTCGATCGTAATGGATTACTTCGAATTTTTGGAATATATTCCCGTAGAAATTTTCGAACGTGGTCAAAGCAAAGCCAGGCGAATATACTTTTCGGCAGGAGTAGTTTTAGAGTATCTAGCCGCAATTAAGTATTGAATCCAGAGAAAACTATAATACTCTATTCATTAAAGTGCATTTTATAATTCACAATGACAATCGACAGCAATAAATAGTCCTTGCACTTTATGCAACATTGCTGATTTTATTTGACCAAAGTTATCTTTCGTTGAAACCCGAATGTACTTTATTTCACTTTGTTAATTACACTTCGTCGATTCCACGGATGAATTCTAACCCGTCCCTTCGAAGAAAGCTTCGGAGTAGCTTCCTTTCTTTTAGCTTTTCTTGCGGGTCTCGTCTTTGCGAATGGTGTTCCGATTTATTCGGCGATAAATAATTGAATTCAATTTCTCGCTATGGTTTTTCTCGGACGAACTTCGTTGATCGCTATGAAAACAGTCGTCGGTCTCAATTTGTGATTTTTCTGGAAAAATGTCGAACCTAAAACATACAATTATTTAACGCGTCGAGCATAAATGTCGCCGGTAATTACTATTTAATTGGTATGAACGTCAAGCTAGTGGAATTATGGGTGCCAGAAACGACAGACGATCTTTGACGGTCGATATGAGATCGTCGGAGCATCCGTTGGAAATGAAAAATGTGATACAAGTCAGCCGATCTGTCGTTCGGAATTTAACAAACGGTAACGATCGCTGATTTCGCCATTAATTAATCATTTAATCGTCATGAATGCGATTCATCGAAGACGCAGGACAAGACCAGGAATCGGTAGACTTTGAAAAGAGCGAGGAAGAGTGGATCCGCAAATTGGCATCAATCGACAACGAGCATTCGGAAAAGTATGGTTTGACCGAACGCAACATAGACAAACTCTTTCAGAATCTGGATCGCAAGTACTTGTCCGCGAAGGCTGATCGACCCTGCCCCATGGAGTCGGATACAGTAAGAACATATTTATTTAAAAGATTATTAGACTCGGTAATCGCCAGATTTAGTAAAATCATTTCATACGGTTTCGATATCGTACTATGTGTACCGAAATTATTTAAAATTATCGAATGATTCAATGGAAATAAATTGAATTATCTACGAAGAAATTTTACTAGGAGCGAACGTAAAATATTTGCCGCTGGAAATTTTGTCGCAAACATTAATTAAAGACTGAAATATGTCTTAAAGGTAACGAACTGCTTAAAAGAGAACAAAGAAGAGAGTTTCAGCTGCACCAAGGCGGTCGACAAGTTTAAAACGTGCATCGATAAATCTTACCACGACACCGTTCGCAAAGACGAGACCCGCAAGAAAAGCAAAAAGAAAGGGAGCTACTCCGAAGATTTCTTCGAAGGGACGTGTTAGAATTCATCCGTGGAATCGACGAAGTGTAATCAACAAAGTAAAAATTGACGAAAGTGAAATAAAGTACATTCGGGTTTCAACGAAAGATAACTTTGGTCAAATAAAATCAGCAATGTTGCATAAAGTGCAAGGACTATTTATTGCTGTCGATTGCCATTGTGAATTATAAAATACACTTTAATGAATAGAGTATTATAGTTTTCTCTGGATTCGATACTTAATTACGGCTAGATCTTCTAACACTACTCCTGCCGAAAAGTATATTCGCCTGGCTTTGCTTTGACCACGTTCGAAAATTCCTACGGGAATATATTCCAAAAATTCGAAGTAATCCATTACGATCGAATCGTTGTGACGATTGAAACACCTAGAATAGATCTCCAGCAACATCCCTATAATAATTGTTTCGATATTCGTGTTGTAATTAATTAGTTATAAGCGATTTTCTGTTTTATGTTTCAATACTGAATATCGGAGCAAATGATTCGTGCCGTTGCTCCCATAAAATACTATGTTAAATCCGGTACGAATATTCTGCTGCTCCTAAACAGCCGAATAGCGCCACTTCGATACAGCGGCAAAACGCTCAAACTGTTAGCCAAATTATCGACATGGAAGGTTAAATTATCGACTAGATGATACGAGTTTCTGGTGGCGCCATCTCGCGGAGAAGTCGGCAAGCTATTAGTACTTTGTACGTGCTGCCACCTAGCGATAATTTCGTCGAACAGTTTGAGCGTTTTGCCGCTGCATTGGAGTGGCGCTATTCGGCTGTTTAGGAGCAGCAGTATATTCGTGCCGGATTTTACATAGCCTCTTATGGGAATAGCGGCACGAATCATTTGCTCCGAAATTCAATATTGGAACACAAAACAGAAAATCGCTTATAACTAATTAATTACAAGACGAATATCGAAAAAATTATTATAGGAACGTTGCTGGAGATCCGGGCTTTCATTTCATATATATAGTTGTCATAAAAAATTCTATTGTCTGCATCAAAAATTCGAAATACAAATACATTTTATTTTCATAAGTTTAAATCGCCGATTATTACGACTTGCGTGTTCAATAAATCGATCGTTCTGTACACTGATTATTTCAATTTAATTCACTTTGTTTTCACGCGAGAATAATGTTATATTTCTATGTAAAGCATTTAATAACGATTCATTTGTTTCGCGCATTTACAACAAAATTCGATGCGGCGTATAACCTTGCGATCAAAGAATTAAATTAAAAATAAAGCGGTACGAACGCGAGGAATTCAATTGCTATACTAAAATTCGTGTTAATCGAAAATGCAGCTTACCATTTCCACAACGTACGATGGGGGCAGCTATAATTATTTTCGAAAGTTCAAATACGACGCACCCCCAAAATCAACGGTACGACATTTTTATTAATTAAAAAACTGCCGGACACTGTCGAGCTATTATGTGTGCGCGATTATTCGACGTTTTATTTAAATTTTAAATAAACACACGCATTTGTTAATTTACCCAAGATGCCAAGTTACAAATGGGGAGTGCAGGGTGTAGAAGAAACATCGAAAAGCGGAATCAACGGAATTAAAGCGTATTCAGAGATCAGCCGTGGTTTAAAAATTCCTCAAAATGATATTTCAACGATAGATGTTGCACGAATGAAGGAAGTCGATGATTTATTCAAGGTAAATCGTTCCTACAAATATTTTACAAATTGCGAATTCCACTAACCCCTGCAATTAAATGTTACAATTAAATGTTACAAATTATATCGGGAGCGATTGAATTCTTATAAATTGGAAATTAACAATTTTAATGGCATTTTAATTATTATAATACACAGGGTGTCCAAGTTCACCGGAATCAGTACAAGGACCACACAGGTTCCCGTCATCCCTTGCAGTATTTCAAAGCTGATCGGTACAAATACCAATGCGCCCCGGGAGCAACAACCTCATATTTTTCAAAGTATCCGACAAATTATATCGAATACAAGATACCGCCGACAGTGCCTCTCACGTACCAGAGAAAAATGCGCACGCCTTACATACCTAATTTATTCCTTACCGGCATTTATAACGAACGCGGCTGCGTCGCTTACAAACGATGATCTATAATATTAATTCACGTCGACCATGCGATATAATGAATAAAACGTTCGTCGCGCAACACGGCAACAGATTTAATATATATTCTACGAATTGTTTCACAACGATTATGGTTTAGAGCACGCGGAATTGTACAGTCCTCGTTGTAATTAAATCCTGAAATGAAACGCGGAGAAGAATTCTGGAATCCTGGCGACGAAGTGTGTGAATTCTTCCCGTGAAATTGTTGCAGCCCGATTGAAGACCATTTCTTTAAGCACCTAATCATGAAATTCCAGAAAATCTCAGATCCAAGTATTACGAACGTTTCACGAAGCAACGCATTGTTTGCGAGCATACATTTTGTTCCGCATGTTTTATGAAATTCCTTTCGAAATTTATTTTTATTTATTATAAATCGAAAATATTATAAATTATATATATATATATATATATATATATATATATATATATATATATATATATAATATAATATAATATAATATTATATATATTTCCTATAATATAATATAATATAATATAATATAATATAATATAACATAATATAATATAATATAATATTTCCTTTCGATTCGTTACTTTCGTAAAAACGATTAAATCGATCGTCCATTAAGATGATTCTTTTAATGATTCGAATAAATATCGCTGACCAGTAAATTCCAGCGATTACATTTTCGATAATCTCGGTGATTCTTTTTTTCAATAATTGCGGTAATTCTTTCCTCAATAATTTCAGTATTTATCGTTTCGATAAATATTTTTTCGATAATTTCCATAAATATTGTTCAATAAATACGAATAAATACTGTCGAATACTCACTAATTCTGCAATGTGCTCTGCCTGCTCATCCTCGATGATATCCGCATCTTCCCTCTCACACCCTGCCAATTTCTTGACAGCCTCGATCAAGTCATCGGTAGAAATGATGTTGTCGCCATCCAAATCTGTAAATTAATTAATGAAACACTTCGCGTGGGCTCGTAAACGCGATATAAATAATTTTATAAGAATATCTATATTGAGAAATATACACGATGTTCTCCAGCGAGAATTTTTCCATTAACATTAATTTCAATTAATCGTTGATTACCGAAAATGTAGAATGCCCAGGAGGTTCGGACTTCGTCGGGACAGTCTCCGCAGAAAGCTGAGTACAAATCCAATACATCTTCGAGGCTCAGATGATTGTCTTTTTGCGAGGAGAACACCCGATATATCGAGTCTCGAAATGGGCTGCACTGGAATCGATTTACATTATATAGAAAAATTAGAGATTGCAACAAATTTTATTAATCCTCGTTTCGATTAAAATTCGAGTTCCCTTAATTATATACAGAAATAATGGAGTAATATTATGGAGTAAAATTAATGGAGTAAAAATATGTATTTTTATATATTAATATATACATTTTTACTCCATTAATTTTATTCCACAATATTATTCCATTATTTATAAATATTTTTATGAATTGGCACGATCGAACTTACCTGAATCTGTGGTAGTATCACGTCTATTTGTTCCGCAGCGAAACGATGCTGCAAATTTTCACGTAGCTTCCCAGGATCCACATTGTCCAGGAGATATATAATGCTACAATGTCAACGTACAATCGTTCAACCGAATGTTAAAATTATTAATGAAACAATTACATTTATTTGACAAATATTCTACATTTATTATCATAAATATAAAACTATGTTACTGATGCGTAACGATCGGGAAATCCATGGACAAATATATATGATAAATATTGCTCACCGTACTATTTGCTTTCTCTTCAAGAATGTCAGTTCTGCATAGGTGGAAAGTCGGTCTTCGTCGATTATATCTTTGTGGGACCACGAATTCCCCATGGCAGCAGTAGTATAATAAAACAATTCGTAAGAATTTTCAATCATTGACACATTGAGATTCCAACTGTCACTTTGCAATTGTTATCAGTGTTAATTGTTATCAGTGCATTGATAACGCGCTATCTGACGCATAAGTGTTCCTGTGGAATGTGATTCACCGTCTCTTTATTTCCTATTTCCCAAGCTTTCATTAGCAGATCGTATAAACAACGATACAAACGATGATACAAATGTAGAACATGATACAGTAGAACAAGATATTACATTATATTGTACGTACAATGTTATGGTTATCAGAAATTTTAGTGTGCAGTATATATATACACAAAAATAATAATAAATAGAAAAATAATAGTAATATATATTACAAAAAATTATTATATTCTATTATTATTATTCTATTATTATATTCTATTATATTCTATTATATTCTATT